AGATGTGTGCAGCTTCCTAGAAACTAACAAAATCTATCCAAAGACTGCACCACACTGATTTTGGGGGAGATACCTCTGTTAATTTACCGATGTTGTTTGGTCTCAGAAAATATTAGTATATTTTTTTACACTCTTCGTGTTCATTATTTCCACTTCTCTCATTATTTTCCCAACTGTAACCCGTGTATGATCTTTTTTTGTTGTTGGTTGGGGTTTTGTGTCTGTTTGTTAGCTTCTCCTTCCCCCAGGTAGGGATTTGCAGGCAATTCTTTTCCCTTTTATCTGACCAGAGACTCCTGTGTCTCACTGTTCCCTGTTTCTGACCAATTTATTGCTCCAATAGCAAAGAGTGTTTGTGCCAAGTGTGAATACAATCCCTTTCAGCCCAGGTTCCTTAAAGAATGTTTCCCCTGTGTTCTCTCCAACAATGTTTTCTGTTTTCTGCCATTTTCAAGAAGCTTCAAATTGTGTTTTGTACAGTATTATTCAGATTTTGTCCTCATTTAATTTTCCAGCCAAACGCTGGACAAACAATAGGCTTAACTGAGGAGCCCCTGGGACCCTGTAGAGCAAATTGGACATTTTTATTAGGCTATTATTTCAGTAGATTATGTTCTTTTCCCTCCTCCACTTAGATTTCTTTAATCAAATTAACCTGTCAGATACAATAAATAATAATAATATATTTGTTGCTGCTTATTGCTGTAGGGCAATGAAAACATACCCACGAGGGCTGAGGCTGCCCCTTGTTCCTGAGGGATAAACTGATTTTGAGGAAACAGAACATGAGCAACTGAGGTGTTCACTGGGTCACCTGAAAAACTGGAGAATTATTTCACAGGAGTGGCAAAAATATTTGGGAGAGTTGAGATGGTGTTTATGTAGCCCCTCTGGATAATTCCTGCCATTATTTAGTTGTAACTGTAGCAGAAGTGGCAGATCAGCATCCATCAGTATCCATCTCTAGAAGATGTTTTTGTGGACACGTTGTTTTAGGGGAAAGGTAGGAAGCTCCCAAGAGGGATTAGCGAGGCTCTAATATAGACAAAGTATGATGGATTAGATTGTGAGGATAAGAAATAATGTGTGTTACTTAGCCTATTATATATGAGATAATAATCACAGTTCTGTTTTAATCTTTGAGAATGCTGCTCAATTAAGAAGGTGCTTGTGGGGAACAATCTGCCCCACTGTCAGGTGGCTAAACATGATGACAGTCTGCACTGGTTCTGGGGAGTAATTTCTAATCTACTATTCAACTTTTATAGTGCCAGTGGAAATTCCAACCCATCTCCTGCCATTAGTCCTCCCCTATTAATCTCCTGAATTATAAGAATTAATCAAACACTAATAAACCAAAAATAAATTAAATTATTTGCTGTCTTGGCCTATCCCATATGAAGAACAGAGTCCAGAGACTGTTGGTTTTATAACACTGGCAATGCTGAGATACTGCAGGGCTGAGTGTTTTTAGTGATCACACAGAGATAATTTAATCACTTGCTGAAGAAGTGAATGAATTTCCTTGCTTCACTTCAGTTGGTCTATCAGCATGTAGACCTTTTTTTTAATGTCCTCTGATATTTCTCCTCTGTAGAGATACTAATCAGAAAATTACTCCTGAAAGTGTTCATTTTTGTTATCTCTTCAGTCTCTTGAGAAATACGTGGTTTTGTTCATGTTTCCTAATCTGATCCTCTTAGTGAATAAGAATAGAGTGACCTTGCTTTCTGTCTGATAACATTTTAGGAAGGCACCTGTTTTCCTACTGATTTTTTTTCTTCTGCCTACATCATACCTGCTGGACTTTGGATCTTTTTCCTTTCAGTAGTTCCTCTCCAGTTGATTCCACGTTTTAGTTTTCCACATTTTTGTCCTCCTTCTGTGACTAATTCTTCTAATTAGACCCAAGTTTTGCTCACTTAATCACGATTGCAGAAAGAGAAAAAGGGACTTGTGGCATCAAACAAAAGGTGTTACCAATCCTCTTGTCTCCTAACTGCCACCTTCGAATATTAGAACCATTTGAGAAAAACTGTGCTGAGAGCCTTTGAATTTATGTTTTGTCCACTTACACATATGAGCTCGTTTCCAAGTTCATATTACATGGCTAAGAAACCATAAAAGGAGGGCAGAGAATTTACTAACACAGTATATGGCCTTCTGCTAGAAAAATAACTGCAGATTTCTGTCTGGTTTTGGCCTTTATTAATTGTACAAAAAGGATACTGTAGAAATTAGCATTTCTGAAGAGCACCCTAAAAAGAACTCTGCTTGCTTTATCAAGAAATTTGGAGGGATGCCAGAGAAAAGATTAGAGGAGTTCCTCAGTGGGAGGCACTTTGCATGCTGATGCATCTTTCTCTTTGTTTGTAGTTTGTTTGTTTTACTCCTTGCCCTCCTCAGGAGGAAGACATACACACAGTTTTGTCAGACACCAGCCTAAGTGGCAGTAATTCTGTGATTTTCCGGGCTACACTTCCATTTTCTAATGACAACAGAGCAATTGCAGCTTCTACCTGGTCCTGTAGCTGCCTATGCCCCATCAGACATTGGGCCTCTGTCAGCCCTGCAGTTGCACAGGGGCAGTGCAGAGCCAGCACATGATTCTTTGGTCTCCATCCCAGTCTGGGGGTGTTTTGAACCAGTTACTCACTGGTCCGTGGCTGTTTGTGCTCCAGTCCAGTCCCTGTTTTGTCTGTTCAGGTATGAACAGGCGTGTTCATGATAAGCTGAATGTCATCAGGCTCCATCCAGAGGGGAGCAATCGTTATAGGCATGGATCAGAGTCACTGTGTTATGTTACTTGAATTAATTGCTTTTCTCACTCCCATTAAAATCTCCCTTGGCTCAAAGGTAAGAGGAGAGACGTTTCCTCAATATATCAAATTATCTGTGAATTTGTCTAGTGTTGGAACCCTAAAGCTGCTTGAACAGACCCTTCAGGCTGCTGAGAGCACCCCTGAAGCACATTGCTGGCTGCGTGTGAGGAGAGATGTCGTTGTGTCCATGCCACCTTCACTCATCACATCAGGAGCCTTATTGGGCTTATCTTTGAAAGCTTTAACACAAAGGAAGATTCAGCCTTTTTCAAATCTGAAGAGCTGCTTGACCTTTCAGAGACCTTTCCTGTGCACTGAATTCATGAAGTGAATCGTTGGGTACACCAACAGCCTCCCAGCACAAAGCTGCCAGGCTTCTCTCTGGGCTGCAGATATGAGGATATGGAGATGAGATACTCAGAGCCTTGACAAAGCTGCCTCTCCTTCTGACAGTCCTCTAGATGATGCTTGGTTTGTGCTTGTGGCCTACAGAAATAAAGCACAATTAAGTTTGTGTCCACTGTACAGAAAGGTAGGAATTGTGTGATTATTACCTTTTAGACATTGATTCCCCGTTGCTGTTTCAAAGCTTGGGATCTCGTTGGTCCCAGCAGGAGCTGTGGACAGGAGGCTGAGGTGTTTCTCAGCCTCTGGGCTCTCTTTTACTGGGAACACAGTTCCTGACTAATGTTTGCTTTGCTTTGCCTCTGCAGACTGACACAGAAATGGAATCCATGTCAACCAAACTTTTTGTGAATTGCAAGGACCGCTGCGTCAACCTCTGTAAGGAAGTGCCATCTACAGCCTATCTTAGGCAAACTGTTCCCTGATAATTAAGGTTAGTAAATAAGTCTTTTTATTTTCCACAGAAATACACAGCAGGGAAGGTCGCAGCTAATGGGGATTTTGGATGCTCAGCAGCTTCCAGGGTTAATTTTTTCTCTGTTGGGATTTAGAGCTAACATTTCACAGTCAGGACAAACTGAAGACTGTGTTTTGGTGGAGATGCCTGAACTATCAGAGGATAGCAGTGTTTTATAAGAGTATAGGTGCTCAAACAATAGAGAAGATTTTAATTTTACTCTTATAAGTAACCACTGTATTATAGCTTCTTTACTGCCTTTGTTAGCCACGATGACCAAAGGGTAGTTTACCCAGGAAAAAATCGTTGCCAACAAACAGAGCCAGACCTCAATTTCAACTCCTGAGGAAACAACACCTGCAAGATCAGCCAGACCTGCTGTGCTTCCCATGTCCTGGACTGCTTGTTCTGCTCAGTGTAACTTCAGGGTCATGTTTTACTCCCAAAAGGCAGCCTAGGCAGCTGTAAATGAATAATGATTCCCTAGGATCGAGCAGAGAATAGGACTCTCAGGTATCCTCAGAGCCCAGAAATGTGCCTGGCACCTGTGTCTGTTGTTTTGAATATCCTGGATTTCTCTGGCCTCTTCTAGCTCAGAGGATCACAGGCATCCTTTGGGGAAGCTCCCATCCTCAGAGCTGTGAGGATCTGTCTGTAATCAGTGTGTGCCACATCTTTGTGACTGGGTGTTTTGCTTAGCTCAATTCTGAATCAGAGGAGCAAATAAAGGGAGAGCAGACCCAAGCTCTGATGAACTTTGAACTTATTTAAATGTGAAGCTCATTAGCTGCAATAGAGAACCAACAGCACCACGGTGTAAAAAGCATGAAAATCAGCCCAGTAAGGTGCTGGTTCCAAGCCTGGTGTTCACAAGCATCTTTACCTGTGTCCATGGGAGCAGTGTGAGCAGATTCAAGTTGTCTCCTTCCCAGAAACACAGGGCTGTTTCTCCACTGAGTAATGTTGCTGAGTTGAGAGGTGACACAGAGGCTGTCCCAGATCCTGGACCCCTGGGTTTTCCCCAGGTGTCAGGTCACTCCTCACAGATAATTGCTTACCATCATCATCTGAAAGAACTGCATCTTCCACGACTAGATTTACAGGTACAACCACTTAAAAAAAAAAAAAAAAAAAAAAAAAAGTCCTCACCCACAGTGAGGTAAATATGCAGGTTTATTGCAGCCAAGCCACTCCTTTCCGTGTCATTCCTTCTCAGACATCTGCTCGTGGATGTTAAAACCACGAGCACCTTTGGCAGGAGCGCTCAACTCTGAAACCTGCAGCACCTGTAACAGGAACACAATTTGGGAAGGAGTTGTTGTCCCGGGAAGAGCAGCAGCTTCAATTTGTGTCCCATGGGAGACAAGTGAATCTGAAGTTATATATTATATACGACGTAGGGGATGACAGCAGTTTATCATTAACCTGAACTCTGCAAGAAGCACATAAGGAGAGAAAGAAGAAGAAAGCCAGAGGAGCAGCCAGGATGGAATCCACCATAAAGATCAACAATGCTGCGGACATCTCTGTTATTGTCATCTATTTTTTGTTAGTTCTGGCAGTGGGACTATGGGTACGTTGGGATTTTATTTTATTTGGGTTTACTTAATGAGCACAATGTTGGGAAAATGGCTCAGTAAATGGAAATGTATAATTGCATAAAGATTTTGGTGCTTAATTGAGTTAGTTAGCAAGTGCATGGTGGGCAAAATGTGGGTATTTACTGTAGAGGAGCTGGTAACCCAGGGAGGCATCCCTTTAGGTGGATGAATGGGACCAGTGGGAAAGGTGAAGTAGCGAGGTTTGTGAGGGATGGGGCTGAGAAGTGTGATCAGTAAAGATGAGGCCAGTCAGGGTCCCTGGGAGAAAAGGGCTGGAAGGGAGAGATGGGGTTTGGCACCACGGAGCACTGGGACTGCAGGAGAACTGGTGCTGTGAGGGGATGCAGGAGGAAATGGTGAGGAGGGGCAGTTGCAGGGAGAGGAAAGGGCAGTGAGGTGGTGTGACAGCAACTGTGGGACTGTGACAGTAACTGTGGGACTGTGGCAGTAACTGTGGGACTGTGACAGTAACTCTGGGACTGTCACAGAAGGGGAGGGCAGGGGAAGGGATGGATCCAGGTTGGAGGTGCCATTTGAGGGCAGCATTGCCGTGGCTGTTTCCTGCCATCAGATCCTTGGCTCCAGGGTGCAGTGCCATTGGAAGTGTGAGGCAGGAAGAGTTTCAGGGGTGGGAAGTGCTGGCAGTGCCTGTCTGCTCGTGTTCCAAGCGCTGTGGTGCCTCCTGCCCTCAGCCAGCAGTGCCGGGTGTGTGAGGGGAGCTTGGAGCCCAATCCCAAAGGAGCCCAGTGCTCACAGAGGGGAGAAAGGCAGGGCCCATCCCAGGGGAGTGACCCCAGCACTGAAGGGTTTGAAGAGAATGGGCCAATACTCTGAACTACAAAGAACAGTGGAATGTCACTGAATTCTGGTTTCCTTGGGGCAAACTCTCCTGGTCACCTGAACACTTGACCATTAACAAGTGGAGAGGAGGCATTGCCCCTCAGGAATCCTCTGCTTTCCAGGAGCATCCCAAGAACATTTCACAGTGCAGAGAAGTCACCTCTGTTTCTGGTGGCCTGGCAATGTTTTGAAGAGCACTAAAAATTTAGGATCTACACAGAATGGACACAACCTTTTGTTTGCCTCTCCACCATGGTAGTAAAGGCCTAAATAGCAAAAAATCTGAATCCCTGGTCTGGCAGGAGGGAGCTGGGTCTTTGCTACTGTCTGTTGCTGTAGTTGAACTTTATATTAAAGGTCTGTAAGAATAAAGGGCTGATCTGTGGCTTCTCAGGCCAATGTGTGCTGAGTTAATCCCTGGAACTGTGTCTTTCCAGCCACAGTGTCCTCTTTATTGGGCAAATGCTTATTCAGTTGCCGTGTGTAATTAAATGTAAATCTATCATATTTACTTCCTTTCTTTGGCATCAGAAGAAAAGGTCTGGCTAATTTTCCCAAGTCTTTTTTCTTATTTACCTGTTCAAAGTGCATCAAAGGAGACAATGGGAATTCATTAAATAATGGCTCAGGGTCATTGACAAAAATTGGAGGAAGCTTCCCTCTAAGGCCCATCCCTTGACAAATACAAAATGAGTTTCTGAAAAGGAAATTTTAGCTGGCTTCTTTTTTTGGAACTTCAGAGAGAAGCAGGCACAGTGCTGATATCACAACAAGAAAACAGGGATCTTAGGGGCTGGATAAGATTGAGTTAAAAAAGCTGCACAGTTTCTGTAAATAAACTAGCACCTTACAGTCATTTTTAATGCCTGAATTCAAAGGTGTTTCATCCCAATTAAAAGCTCACATGAGCTTCTATTTGAGTGATCATTTTTTGGGTGAAATTTAATTTTATTTTAATGTTTCACACTGTAATGAAAGGTGAAGCAATGAAGCTTGAATAGTTAATGTAGACCTAGATAAAAGAATCATTGTTCATTATTTCCTTCATCATAAGGTTGCTTTTTTTAGTCTCTCTTTCCCTTTACCCTCCCTGTGTATTTTATCCCTTCATTTGAGCTGTTCTTAGTCTGTGTATGGTGCCTATTACGCTTGAAATATGATTCAAACTCTCTTCCTTCCTTGTTTTCCAGGCCATGTACTCAACCAACCGAGGGACAATAGGAGGGTTTTTCCTGGCTGGACGGAGCATGGTTTGGTGGCCGGTGAGTGCTGTAAATTGGGCTGTAATTTATGTATGAGTCTTATCCATGAGGACTCTCTAGTCCTTAGATATTCAGGATCTCCACGGTGCTGTTGGGACTGTGGAGGCTTTGTTGTGAAGAGGCAACCCCAGCTCTTTCTCTGGCCATGGTGACACAGGGCCAAGTGCACACCAAAAGCCACCGGGCAGGCAGGGAGAAGCGTTGGGGAAAGTTGCTCTGAGCTTGTCTTGATTATGTGACCAATTTGTTTGGACACTGATACACTGGTAATGTCAATGCAGACAAATCCAGTTCTTTGCCTTTCAGCCCACTTTAAAACTTTTTAATACTGTGAATCTATTACTTTCACTGCACTCAAAGAAGCTGGCTCATTTTGAGGTTATCACAGAGAGGAATTAATTTACTGAAATTTTCCCATTGATTGCTCTATTGTTTCCACTTTTGGTAACAAGTTCTGTTCTATGCAAGGAGAAAATCCTGAAAAATGTTCTGATACGTTATTGGTAAAATATAGCTTAAATTTATTTAAAGATTGTGACTTACATTGTTTGTCTTCTATGGCTCTGTATTATCTTCCAAGATAGAGGAGTCACAGACACAACAAGTTTGTAGCCATCCATCAGGCCTCTGGCAGAAATTATATTAGAAACAATTATCTATTTCTTCCAGACCACACAGTCTTTTTAATGTGACTCCTTAGAAAAGCAGAAAACTTAGACAAATGTGCATTTTCTGTACTACTTGTGTTGTACATCCTTCCATTTGCTTGAATGGCACATTCCTGATCTTGCATTCAGTCTCCATAAATGTTTTTTCACTTCACTAAGACTTGTGGGTTAAGACTCCTCTCACATGGACTCATTTACAGGACCAGGACAGTGAGAGTAAATATTTGTTGTCTAAAAATTTAGGATTTAGGAATTGTCTTAAAGTAGGCTGCAGAAATACCTACACACCTTCCAGTCTTGTGCTTCAGAGAGCTGCTCTCTTCAGGGACATGAAAGGATTAAAGGTCAATGACAGTAAAAGGTTTCCTCTTTTGGTGTAGTAGATCTAAGAAAATTCAGGTTCTATTGGAAGATTGAAGACAGAGAAAGCTTCCAAGTTATTTTAAGATGAACCCCATAATTCTAGGAGTAGAGAAAAAAACCCAGATTACTTTGCTTAACTGTCACTTCAATCAGTGGGCTGGTTTGAACCTTGATCAATCCTGTCTGCCTGTCAGGGGGAATATGAATATCCTTTTGTGCACATGTAAATGAGGGTGGAAGCAGCAAGGCAGGAAAGACTCCCCATAGAAGACTTGCTGCAGTGGCACTGAGAACTCCTAAGGAATCCCCTGAGGCCTGGGGGAGATTATCTGACAGGAGTCCTCTGCCAACACACACCCAAGAGATCCAGCAAGCTCCCTCCCTCCAGAGGGAAGCTAACAGGGATCACCCCTTCCCAAACTCTGAGCTCAGCATGGACAAGGTGCTGGTCTCCAGTGGAGTCCTAGATCTCCCCTTCCATCCTTGCCTTTGGAATGCCAGGAGAGTCTTCCATAAAAATAAACCCTTCTTGCTCTTCTTCCTGGTATCACTCAGAATAAACAAACAGCAAGCACTCCAAACCCTCAAACTAAATACTATGTCAGCAGCACCACCGTGGAAAGTTTGCCTTGGATCAAAAGAGATTCCAAAACACCAATTCCCACAGCTTAGCTGGCAGATGGGATGTGCAGCACCCAGTGCAAACTGGGCTGAAAGGACGAGGAAACCAATGCAAGTCTAGAAAGCTCGGTCAGAGATGTGATCTCAGTTCTGCCACAGCCAGAGCTGTGTGGGGGGTTTTACTTCTGTGCCTTGACTTCTCATTTGTGCCACGTCAGGGCTGACCTGGAGTGGTTCCTGACAGCCCCAGCTCATTCCCACAGTCAGGCTGGGGGGAGTTGTTTTGCAAGGGGACTCTTGTTTGTGGGATTTCTCCCCTGCCAGTTCAGGGTAATGACCCTTGTCACGTCATTGCTTTCTGCAGCAGGGAAAAACGAACAAAAAGAAATCCTTCCACAAACTTGTTATAAGCTTCATTCCGTCACACTAATTGTATTTTTCAGTGCTTTTGCTCTGTTCTGTGCTCTGCAGGGCACCCACAAGTGAGTTTTCTGACCCCATGGGGGAAGAGGCTCATAAGCAGTGGATTAGGATCTCTTACTGGCAAGCTGGACAGGGATTCTGTTCTGCTCACTGAAATGATATAATAGCTGTGATTTGGTAGAAGGAAGCCCTGGTAATCAAGGGCTGGAGGTTATTCCCACTTTCATTATGGATTTTACATGTTTGTCAATCACTGGCAAATTGTTGTGTGATTCAATTTCTCAAGGTATAAAGTAGCAAGACACTAATCCTGGGCCCAATCTGTCCCACTTTGGCTCTGATTGTTCTGCTCCAGAGTCCATGGAGGTTGTTCAGTATTTTTCAGAACCAGAACCCACAGATGATTTCTGGCTGTTCTCTGAGGTGATAGCTCACTGCTGTGGCAGTTCACTGAAATCACTGCTCCTGTGCAGTGGATGAGCCAACTCAGTAGTTCCAGTAGTTAATTAGGGATAAAGTTGTACAATTAAATTCTCACAGATTACCAGAAATTGAAATCTGTCGTTGGTTAATCATAATGGCATGAAATGCTGTGCCCTTTCCACAGTCTTTTCACAGAAACTGAGAGAAGAACCTTCAAGAAACTGGTTTTGGTCTCTTGGGCTTTGAGGGCAATATCTTCGGGAAAGACTCATATTGATTCTTTAAATCCTCTTAACCAGCTCTGCTTTTCCCAAACAGACACAGGGAAGCTCAAGGCAAGTGACAGCTTTGTAGCAGGGGTCTTGCCAACCCAGCTGGAGCTCCCTTTGCCAGGTGAAGGACTTGGGGTCAGCCAAATACTTCCTGCCATCGTAGGAAGTGAAGTTTCCTGGAGAACAGTCAGCTTTGGTAGGAGCCACTCTCACGGGATGAACAGCCTGTCATGCACAACTGAAAATTTCAGCATCCTCTTTTGAAGCTTTCTGCTTTGGGATTTTTTTTCTTCGGGTTCTGTGGTTTTGCAGACAGAGCTGTCTGCACAAAATTATGGGTTACCTCGTACACCTCAGTTCCTGAGGCACCAGTGGTAATAGGACAAAGAGTATCTGCTGGGCACCTGAAAACCAGCTGTGGGGAGGAAGATTTACTGGAGGGTAGGTAGGAAGGATGCAGGTCAAGGACATTCCACACTTCAAACAGAAATGTAACTCAGCTCGTTTGTTGTCACGTACCTGTTGATCTTTGTGGGACAGATAAGAATTAGGGGAAAAAAAGCCCAATAGATTTTTTCTTCTGTTCTGCATGGCTTATCTCCCTGGCCATCAGAACTGATCATGGGTATGATTTCTCTGATCTCTGGAGCCAGTGAAGTTTTACATATACTCAGAATTTTCCCTACTTGCTGAATCTGACACACCTGCAAGGGACCAGCAATGACAACTCCCTGGTCAATAAGATTTGTATGTCCTTTTCTGAGGTAAAGTAGAATGAGAAATTAACTTATTTTGTCAAGTTCCATGCAAAAAAAAAAAAAAAAAGTGTAATCAGGAGTTTTCAGGGTAAAAAGAATAATACACAAAGCAAAGCTTTGGAAAAGGAAAAGTTCAGTGCAACTGATTTCTACAGAATCCATCAGAATTTTCCAGCTGGCTGGGAGGTGTTGTTCCTGTCTCAAAGGACGAAGGTGGGAAGGCATCAGATCAGCCTGGTTGTGCCTGTGCTGTTCCAAGAGCCATCAGCGTGTTGGAACACAGAGACCCTTTTGATGTGCATGGTGTGTCCAGCCCTCTGCCTCAGTGAGCTGGGAAGGGTGTGAATGGGGTTAGCTGGGCAAGAATGCAGGGCACAGAATTTACAGATCAACTGGGAAAGCAGAACAAACCCCTACACTTCCTTCTTTGGGTCTCAGAGCCTCAGAAGCGTGGCAGGAATATTTCAGTGTAGCATTGTACCCTAACGGCCTAAAGGCCACAGGGAGCTTGGGATCAGTGGGAAAAGGGCTGGATACTGAGCTAACACCTTCCCCCAGGAGGGCAGACACTGGGGCAGAGGAGATGGACTGGCAGGTCCTGGGAGGGAGAGAATCCATGGGGTGGGAATTGTGCCCACTGTCACTGCAGCCATCGCTGGCTTGTGCAGGGTTTGGAACAGCCAGTGCTGGGATGTCGGTGCATCCTCCAGTTAATGAGAAGAGCAAGGTGAAACAGTTAATGAATAACATGAGAAACCACAGTGATCATCATCTGCTTCAGGGTGCTGCTGCTTCTCCTGAACAGAGTGCTCTTGTTAAAACCTGACCTCTTAATATATTTTAAAAGAGTTAATGTTCCACGTTTGCCTCAGGTTAGCTCAGTTTTTTGTCCTCTCTCCCTCTTAGCAGCTTTTGTTTCTTTCAATCAACTTTCTTCTTTACTCTTCCTCCTAGATCTGTGTTTAAAATCAATTCACTAACACATTCACTGAGAACAGATAACACTGCCAGGAGGTTGTTTCCCACTGCCATTCCCCAGTTTCAGCCCAGGGTTCCTTAGGTGTGCAGCAGCATCTACCAGTGGCAAATCAAGAATTCCAGCACAAAGCCTTTCCAGCACAGAAATACCACAGCAGTCGGTTCTTCAGCAAGACAGCTCGGGCCCAGAGCCCATCTGCCTTCTTCCCTCATCCTTAAAATATGGCAGATGGGAAATTTCTCTGCCCCTCTGGCATCAGCAGCTGACGGGGTGTGAGGGTGTTGGGCCAACGCTCCTCTTGCTGTGACCACGCTGCAGCTTTAGGGCAATCTGCTTTTTCCCAGCTATGAAGCCACGTTCCTCCTTTCCATGTATACATGACTAAAGGCACTTTTTAATTGCACCCATTATTAGGATGTGTTGGTCTCACAGATCTGCTGCACTGGATATTCCCTAATTCAGAGAGGAAAATGTGGATGGTGAAGGTGGGATCTGCATAACCATTGTTTTGTCCTTGCACTGGCCCTAAATATATGTTGGTGATTTTGCATTGCTTCGTTTTGGGTTTGTATTTTTCTTTCACTACAATTGTACTTTTGGCAAGGTTGGGAACACAGCATCATCAGTGTGTCCTACAGTGTGTCCTGGGCTTTCAGGCACTCAGCCAAAGCTGATGATTGTCAGTTCTTAAAGTTCTTCATTAGCTGCCTTTGTTCCTTGGATCTGCCTGCATTTTAAGCTTTTGAAACAGGAGAGGGAACACATTAAATAAATTGAGAGATTAATGTGGTTAATATTTTCTGGTGATTGCATTTCTAGTAACCTAGATTTAAGTTTAATTATTCATCTCCAAGGAAAGCACTGGACAGCAGTGCTAATGCTTGGTATAAATGGTATTTGTTTCTTCACCATCATTGCTGGGAAAACACTGTTGCTGTCACAAAGAGGTTAGAAGAGGCAGAGGTCTCTTGTTTGCTGGTGTTTGTTGCAACACTTATCATTCCTGTAGAAATATGTCATGTGACAAACTGGTTACAGTCCTGTAGAGCACAACTGACTTCTAGAAATGTGTATAAAACCCCCAAATCCAGAACCTAGAGTGAACTTAGAGACATACATTTCCTGTCACAGCAAAAGAACAGCATTTCTGCAAAAGGATTAGAAGGAACCAGGAGATCAAACTGAGGAGAGGAGAGGAGAAGAAAGTGGAAAAGAAAGAGTGGAATCCTCTGAATTGTAATTGTATGTTCCATATAACAAATAGGGGAGGATAATCTATTTGTTATTAGAGATCAGGATTGGGAGTTGAAGAGCATGGTTTCTAATTCTGGTTGTGGCACAGCTCTACAGAATAAATCTGCTCTTCAGAGGTGGATTGTTATGATGAAATCCCTTATCCTCCTGAAACTCAGGTCATCCTTCCTGTGCTCTCAGGAACATGGATGTAACATTTGCTGCTGCTCAAAGCACCCACTGCAGCCCCTGCAGATCTGGGGAGCTGTAACTATTCCTTTTTAGGTGGAGACAAGGAATACTTCTCCCTTTTGTAAAATTACTCCATTCTAACTGCCTGTACTTGGGAATTAGATAAGGAGAACGTGCTGGAGGCAGGTCCTGTGTTCGTATATCTAAAAAACCCCATTTTTAAGCACCTTGGAATCCTGCAACATGGGAGATCTGCAGAGGACAGGAGGGAACAGCTGGAGCTGTGCCAGGGGACAGCTTGGCTCTCAGGAAAAGGTTCTTCCTCCAGAGGGTGGTTGGCACTGCCCAGGCTCCCCTGGGCAGTGGGCACGGCCTCAAGGCTGCCACAGCTCCAGGAGGGTTTGGACAAGCCCGCAGGGACAGGGTGGGATTGTTGGGGTGTCTGTGCAGGACCAGGGGTTGGACTGGATGATCCTGTGGGTCCCTCCCCACTCGGGATATTCCACGATTCAGATGAGAGCATTAGAAGCTGGTCACAGAGGTTCTCTCCCCTACTTTCTGTGAGGATTTCTTCTCTTTTTAACCCTTTTTTTTTTTTTTTTTTGGTGGCTTTCAGAGGACATAAGGCAAAAATAAAAATGAATAACAAAATGTTCCCTCACATCTTTTCATCTGGGAGCTGCTCCCATGTCCTCTGCCCACCATGCCCAGCCCAACCTGTTTTCACGCTCGAGTTCTCACCCTGCATCCTTCAACACTTGACTCTGTAAATCATCGCTGGCTATTTCTGCTGCCTCTGATGTTTTCATTTGGAGGAAATGAAGCTCATTCCTTTTCATCTTTTCTATTGTTTGAGCTACTTAATTAAGAATTAGGTCTCTGTAAATGGCTCCTGCCTGTCTGTAATCCAGCAGGAACCTCTCATTTTTTTGATCTCTCCCTATTCATTGATTCCCATGTTCTCCCCACTGTTCTGTTAGTTTGATCAGTGAAATATTTGGGGGTTCTTAGAGATCCAGCACTTCTTAAATTAAGTCCTTGATTTGCAGTTGTTTGTAACTTCCAGAGGCACTTTCTCAGCAGATATTTCTGCCATGCAGCTTTCGGAATTTACTTCAGTAATCAAATATCTTTTGGCTAAAAGTGAACCAGTGCAGCTCTCCCTGGTGGCATGTTTAGATCCACAGACTGTGCAAAATGAAACCAGTTTGATGCACTTGTCTTTTCCTCTTTGAACAAAACAGATCAGTCTTCTTCCTTGATTGTCTGGGTGTCGTCCAAATGTCAATAGACAAGTTTTGCAAATATTGGTATAATAGCCTTTTTGACTCAAGTGGGAGATGTTTCATGCAACACCCCATTATTTCTCACTGTTGTAGATGTGTCTGATGGCTGCAGTCCCAGGTTTCAGGGGGACAATAAGTGAAAGTTGTCAGGGAAGTTGGTTGTCAGTCATTCTCATCATCATCACCTTCTGACCACGGAGAGGCAAGAGTCCAACGTGCCAAATGAAGATTTTGATTTTTAAAGTTACCAGTTATTGTTCTTTCTGTTTGCAGATCGGGGCTTCTCTGTTTGCCAGCAACATCGGCAGCGGGCACTTTGTGGGAATAGCGGGCACAGCAGCAGCTGGTGGGATTGCCATCGGAGGATACGAGTGGAATGTAAGTGCCATTCCTGTCAGTGGATGTATCTGGGACATGGGGATTATCTGCAGAGCTTAATCAAAATAGCATTGCCCAATAATTTAAGACTGGCAGAGTTTGTGCTTGGCAACACTTGTTTTCTGCACAGACCTGTAAGAGCCAATATAATCTACTGTTTAGCCTGTCCTCCTTGGACCTTGTCCAGGCCACTGGAAAAAGGTGACTCTTTGTTGAATGAGGCTTTTTAGAGAGCATTTGAACCAAATAAATCAGTGGTTCTCTTCTCTATGCATATCTTCTGAGTTCTCTTAAAATATTTTGATTCTGTGATTTAAATCCATGATTCTATTTATGAAGAACCCTTTCAGACTGCAGGATATTGGGAAGAGTTTATCAGGTTTGTAATCCATGATAATTTTTACAGCATTTTGCTCTGTGGGAGTTGTTGAAGGGGCTCTGATTTCTTCACAGACTATTAAGAAATTTTGGGCATCCCTCACAAGCACCTGCTTTCCAAAAACCTTTTCCTCTTTGCTCTCTCCTTCCTCTACTGACAGGTGTGTTTTTCTCAGGGTTGCACTACAGGGTAGAGGTGTCCAAGCTGACCTGAACTGAGCTGCCTGGAGTACCAGGGCAGTGTTAACTGCAGGGGCACAGGGATTCACAGCAGCTACTTCAGCCCATTTCCTTGTATTCTCAGGCTCTGTGGGTGTGGGCAATAATGTCCTTGTCCTGCCTAATTCGCCTTCGGGGAAGGGATTAGGCCGTGACACAAAGGATTTAATGAGCCTACACAGGTCGATACTTCCCTTGCATTTAATTCTGAGCAGTGAAAGAATCACACCAGCCTGAGGGGTTTGCAAATACTCAAGTACTGGTATGATATAGATGTTTAAGGAGAAGGACAAAGCCTAAAATGAACTGTGTGAGATGTGCACAGTTAATCTGTCAGCTTCCTCTTTTTCATTAGATTAGGTTTGTAACAGACCTGATTCCCCTTCTTTTTCTACCAAAACAAAGCAAAACAAAACAGAACACAAATCTCTGGGGCCCATATCCTTTTTCAGACATCTCTCCCTCGAACACTTAATCTACTGGGAGATGCCTTGTGTGCTCATATCAGTACACAGTGTACAACAATTGTTTAGGGAGCAGCAACAGTGCATGTGTGTGTTTGAGCAGACACTGCATATTCCTGCCTTGTGACACAGTGGGAGTGCTGGGGGGTTATATTGCTCTTGACTGTATAACCTGATTCTCCTCATGAAAGTACTGCTAAGTTTGACTGTTGTCATCCTTGTGTTCCACTGAAATAATTTCTAATTTGTATCAGTGTGACAGCAGAAGCCAACCCAGTATTTCTTGTCCATCTGATGGTTTCTATCTAGGGGCAGAACTTAAAAGGTACAGTTGAAAGGCCCTCTAAGCCCTGTGGGCAGAATAAATACTGAGTGCAGCTCTGACAGCAGGAATTTGTTCTGTACTAATCAATTTACATATGTACATATGTACATCAGACAGCATTCCAGCCATTTACATCAGCAAACTGTGGCACTGCAATCCTGGAAGACCTGTAGTTCACAGGACACACATGGGGACACAAAATATATCATTACATGGGAGTGTGGAAATACAAAACGTTTCACAGATTGCACCTGCTGCATCCTGTGCAGTGTCTGAGATTGCTGTAAATCAACCCATCTCCCAGAGACCCTGTGCAGAAGGTAACTAATGACCAAAATAAGATCAGAAGAAGGGCTGCTCTCCACAGACCCTCCATTTGCAGGTGTTGGGGCAGAGCACTGCAGCAGAGCTGCTGGGAGGGGGAAAGTTCCTGCATTAGTGGTTCTGGGATCGAGATGCTGCAAACAGGTCCCAGCTATCAGGCTTCACCTTCCTAAATATTTCCCACAATAGGAATCCTATGGGCTGCTTGCCTTTTAACCACTGTTAAACCAGGCTCCCTGGGCTTGCTCTGGGTAAGAGGGCTGGGACAGTCTGGTGCCTCTGGTGGAGTGGTGTTTTGATACTGCAGGGCAGTCCTGTGAGCAGAAATCAGCTGTTTTTCTAAAAAATGTATTACAGTCCAGGCTGCATTTTACCTTACAAAGTTTTTAGCTAAGATTATGTTCCCAAATTTTCAACTGTAAATCAAAGGACAGAGCAGATCCTCCCCCACCCCCCTGCAATACCCAGGTTTATGTGGGCTCAGGGGTCCCCCCCTGCTGTTGGGTCTGATAACTGGTCTTTGGGAGTGGTGTCTACAGAGAGGGGCTAATTCAGCTGTTCTTGTCTCGCCTGCAGGCTCTGATATTTGTGGTGATTCTGGGATGGGTCTTTGTCCCCATCTACATCAAAGCTGGGGTAAGTCCAAACAGTGCTTTACACTTGTCTTTGCTGCTCCTGTTTGCACACCAGGTCTGGAATATTGCAGAGCCATGAGGAATGGCACAAGATCTGAGTGTGCCAGAACAGTCCTACATTATGTCTGTGCATTTGAAAAATGAGGATTCCTTGTTCTAAGACCCGAACTGAGGAGTTCAGGTGCTTTCTCCTTGTTCTCCCTTGATTCCTGGAGCTGCTCTTCCTTGCAGCTGCATTTGCAGCTCCCCTGCTTTTTGTACTCCACTCTCACAGTACCTGAGCACAAAAAATCTTCCTGTGATTTGATCTGAGCCTGTTCCCTATGGTCTGAAACCTCCTCTCCCTCCCCAGGTGGTGACAATGCCCGAGTATCTGAAGAAGCGTTTTGGTGGGAAGCGGATCCAGATCTACCTGTCGGTCCTTTCCCTGATCCTCTACGTTTTCACAAAGATCTCAGTGAGTAAAACCTCTACAGCATTTCTTCCATCCTACATTGATCTACAGAAAAGAAACCCCCATTTGCAATATTGCTCACACATCTGGTCATTTGTTTCTGTTTTGGAGCCCTTGGTTGAATTAACAACTGTAAAAGTATGATTTTGTGTTTCCTTTATTCTGTCCAGTGAGACTCCATAGCCAGATCTGTGCTGCCATCCAAGTTTTTTTCCTTCCTGATAACGTCTCTTGATGCTTGTTGTGCTTTATCTTTCTTTTTTAGAGTTTACTTCTACTTATGCTCTCCTCTAGAAACGTCAGAGTGGAGGGAAACTTGTATTCCAGTCTGTTATCTTAGGCATTCATGGAATCCATGGCAGGAATTTTTGTCCTTAGGCTTCATATTGATCCACCGTAGCATCCTGTGGTGAACATGCCATCAGTAATGCAGATGAGGGAAAAGAGCTAGAGGGCTGTGGATCAAAAAAGAATAATAGGAATTAGAAATGGGAAGAGTGGGGAAATGCAAAAGAGGGGAATTGTAACAGCTGGGGTGAAAGGAGAGAAGAGGAGAGATTCTTTTAATGGGCAAGTGATTGATGTAAAGTTTCAGGTGCTATGAAGTTAATGTTTATCAAGGACAGGGATGTGTTTCTGTGAGGTAGCGAAGGGAGCTGCTATTTCCCATATATCTCGAAACTACCAAGCCTGTAAAGAAGTCCACAGTTCAGGCAATCCTCAATCTGTTGTTTTGCAGAAGTTGCCATGGCAGATTACTCTTTGCCCTCTGAATGGGAGCTGAGTGATAATAGTGCAATTTAAGCTAAAAGATTGGCCTTTTGCTCTCATTCTCACATCTTCGTGATAACTGATCCTTAGGGAGGTTATAAATTAAACAGCTTGGTGCTGTGGAGCTGGGCTCAGAGCTGGATTTCCATATATATCAAAAGGATTACAGTTTGCTGCAGTTGTGCTCAGCCATCACAATCGGAAGTCCCAGGTGTGACACAGAGTTCTGGCAGCTGCAGCACACAGAAACTCCTCCCGTGGGTGACTCACGGTCCCACTGGGAACACGTGTTTGTCACGAGCCTCTCGAGGTGCTCCCTGGGCTCTGAACTGACTCCCTGGCTTTGAGTGCCAGCCTAGGCCATTCCAAGCATCTGATTATGGGATTTTACCCCATTTCAGTCAGAGTGTCCTTCTTCCAGGAAAGAGGCTCTGCATTCAACTTCAGTGTGGTCATGAGGCTGAACAGACCCCCTCCTGCTCCTGTGGTCCTTCTTGTGAGGATGCAAAGCAATAGCCCAGGGATTCCCCTTGGCCCCTCTCTGCCACTGGCCCCCTGCAGCTTCCCATCACCCTGGGTGTTCCAGGGTGTGTGTAGGTTCATGGAGCTGGGTCTCTGTGCTATGCAGGGGAGAATCAAGTGCAGGATTTCCCTTAACCATTTCTTTTGGTTCCCCCCTTGCCCCAAGCAACTCTGACAGTGTCTGCCCATGTACAACGAGGCTCAGGTTCAGTAGGGGACAAACAGGTTTCTGCCTCATGTCACTGGATTCAGTGCAGGATTTGCCCAGGACTGATCTACTGGCTGTGCCTTATTCAGAATGGGCAGAGCAGTCAGTCCTTGGAGCTTCCAGGTGCTGTCAGGGGATCCCAGAGCAGGTTTTGCTATGCCATGCTATGCAACAATATTCCCAAGTGGTCCCTGAGGAACCAGCTCCAGAAGCAGAAAAGGAAGGGCTGTTCCATCCTGGGCTTCTCCAAGTGTGCTGTGTGAGAGGTGCCTCCCACAGGCAGATAGCCCAGGCCTCTCTTCCCAGAGACACATCGTGTGTCCAAACATACCCATGTGCTGACAGCCCATTGCATTTTACTTCCCTGACTGCTCTCTTGTCAAACACTCCCTGTGACCATTGGGCCTCACTGAGATGTGACAGAGAAGGATGGGTTTCTGCCCTGCCCTGAACAGGAGCTCACACCCGTCAGTGATACTGCCCTTATCCTTGTAGGAGAGTGGCACCTTCCTTTTGGGGGAGTCATTTTGTGTGCTGCTGTGTTAAAACATCATGTCCTGTCCTAAATAATGAACTGATTAGGGTGCTTTCTGGTGAACAGTATCACACATCAGGTGAGGAACTCCTGCCCTGCTCCTGGCACAGTGCCACCATATGAGGGGCAGAATCCCTCTGCAAGGTCCTCACCATTTCTCTTTCCCTGCACATTTGCTGTGGGTTTTGTTGATTTCTTACTTGCTTTGTGTCTAACGAGCCACTTGCCAGACAAGGCCATGCTGCGAGGTGTTCGTTCTTGGGATCAGGACACTCGGGGTCTCTGAGCCCAGAGGATTTCTGTCACTCAGGGACCTCACCTGTACAAGCTTCCTAAGTGTGCAGCACTCTGGGAGGAGTCCCACAGCAGCTTTCAGAGGCTTGTGAGCCACTAGAGTTGCTGATATTGGTCATTACACCAAAGGAAAGGATCTAGTAAAAATAAAATCTTGATGGACAGTAATAGACTAAATTATGACAAGACCAAAGGGAATTAAGGTCGGAATGCTTTTGAAGAAATCAGAAATTGTAAACTGAAATTTCTAGATCTGTTACAGCATTTTCTTTCCATTCATTGTACATAATTCCAGTAGTAAATGTCTGGTGTAGACTTTCCATTGGGAAGAGGAGGAAAAGGAAAACCTCCTCCTAGGACTGCGTAGTGTCCTAGTAGGGGTTAAAGAAAAGGTGCCCCTGCCCTGACTCCCACATTCCCATTGCAGCTGGAATCACTCAGCTGGCACATCATCTTGTGGCTTTGCAGGGATGGCTGGAAAAAGTCACTCTATTCAGAGATTAGATAAAGATTAAATAGTGCCTATAAAAGAGTATAACTGGGGAAACAGGGAAGTATTGGAAGGCAATAATCTAACTGGGAAGGAGGAGCAGTGGAGCTGGAAGATAACTCAGCAATTTGAAGAAGCTCATACATTACTCAGGATGCTCAATAATTAACTATACATTTCTTTCTGGGAATCATTTTAGGACCATTAATATTTAATGATATGTAGGCTAAAGCCAAGAACAATAAAAGAAAGGTCTGGGACATGGGCTGACCAGCGGTGTGAAAAGAGGGAAAGAATTACCATAGAGAGAAGGGGCAAAGGATATGGTCCGTGCCAGGGCACGGGGGCTGCAGAGGCTGGGACCTCTTCCTCGTTCCTCAGTGGGAACTAGGGGTGAGGTTTCCATGTCTCTGGAATCAAGAGGGTTTCTCCGTGTGGCATTTCCAGTAGCCAGGCTGGAGAAGTGCCCATCAGTGTGTGCCCAGCTGAGGCAGCAGCAGTGCCGGTGCCTGCACTGCGATCCCAGGTTTTGCCCAGCCTCGGGAACCTCCCTCCCCTGTGGGAGGCTTTGCCCCAGGACACGGCCACTGTCTGTCCTTGTTTCAGGCTCCTGAACCCCACTGGGACTGCACTGTGAAGTGAGGGTGGGACTCCCTGGGCAGAGCCCTCCTGCAGGGGGGTGGAACACAAGGCAAGGTGTGCAGGTGGGGCTGGAGAGCAGCCCCTGAACGGGATGCTCGGGAGCAGCCTCGAATGAAAACATAATTTACAGTAATGCATCACAAGTGCACTGGGGCAGATTATCCTGATTGCAAACTTGTATAAAAAACACTGATGCAAATTATCTCTAAATCAGGAACTGATTTAATGCGATTAACATCCCAGTGTTACTCTGAAACCCAAACAGTTCCTTTCTTACGCAAGAGCTCAAGAGCTCTTCCATTAGTCAATTGATGTCAGTTCTTCTGACAGGAACTTAAAAATAGAGACAGTGCAAGATGTTTGCCTTTAATGCAAATGCACCATTTGTCCTGAACCAGCAGGATGAACTACAGCACCTGTGTGTGAGCAGGAAGGGAAGGAAGAGACTTGTGCAGTAGCATTGACTGAAGAGAACTGTACCGTGTCCTGGAGGTGTCTCACAGTCCATCCCTGCACAGGGCAGTGAATGGGACCTCAGTTTTAAGCAGTTTTAAGCTATCTCTCAGTCCCAAAGCACAGAGCAGTATGGTGACTCTGCTGTGAAAACAATCTGTTGAAAAAGGTCTGGAAATTCTTTGAGAAGTGTTACACCCCTTGTACTGAAGCTCCCCCAGCCCTGAGGGGAGACTGGCAGGTGTATGGAAGTGGCTTCTGTTCTCTTTTTGATTCGTGTGTGCAGGACTGTCAGGGGCACAGTTGTGTGTTTCAGTGCCCTCATCATGCATGTGTAATATGTCATAACCAGGAATTTAAATGTTGCTTCATCTGTGATATTTTGTTTTCTAGGCTGACATATTCTCTGGGGCTGTGTTTATCCAGCTGGCTATAGGGCTGAATCTCTACGTGGCCATAATTATCCTGCTTTCTATTACTGCTATTTACACTGTCACAGGTGAGTTTACTGAGCAGTCTGATAAACCAGAGAAGTTGAGGGAGCCAGAAAAAAAGAGAAGAGGGAAGATGGGAGAAGAAGGGAAATGAAAACCTGGAAAGGGAATTATTTACAGAGGTCTTGGAAAGAGAGAGGTGGTGAGAAAAGTAAAAAAAAAAAAAAAAAAAAGAAAAAAAAATTTTCCACTGAGGCATTTGCACAGGGCTGACTGATTTGTCCTGACTTATTTGTCCTGACTTTTCTTTGCCAACAGGTGGCCTTGCAGCTGTGATTTACACAGACGCCTTACAAACATTCATCATGGTAGTGGGATCCTTTATTCTCCTGGGATTTGGTAAGTAAATCAGATGAACTAAACTGGAATGTTCAGTCACAAATCCTGCAGTGTCAAACTGGTACCTTAACCTGCAGGTTTCAGTTCATATGTCTGTTTATCAGGGAAGAAAACAGGCATGTTCCAAAAACAGACACACTGCCAAAATCCTTTAGTCTCCTGAGCATAGGCGAGTGTGTAGGGTAATAAACAGCATCCCATGACACCACAGGGCTTGTGATGGCTAATGAGGTGAAAGTCGAGTTGTTTGCAGATGATGATGATGATACTCTTGAGAAGTTCAGAGAGTATTTTGTTTTCAGAAGATTATAATTTCATAGACATTCAGATGCTAAGGCATGAAAATTCCTGATGCACAGTGAAGAGCTGTTGGTCACATTGCATGAATCTTCCTGTTAAACAACCCGAACACCTGAGCATTGTCAGGAAGCCTTGCAGCTGATCTGTGGGTGTCAATCACTGTATCACCAGCGGGACAAGAGACACAAATGGAATGTTTATGGATGGGACAATGTGTGTGTCCAGAAGACCATGTGCATTTTGAAACAGAAATGATACTGTGAAACTGAGTTAATAGGAAGGGGTCATAAGGAAGAAAGAAGCAGTGATAAGGCTTTATGAACTTGTAGTGTCCTTTCCTTATCCTTCGAGTTACTCAGCACTTGCTTTTGCTCTGGTGAGGTCTTTTGTTGAATTTAAATTATTCCACCACTGTTACAGCAGAAATAACTTTAGACTGACCTAACCTGGGAAGACCCTGCCTTAGGTTCTCCCTGGGTCAGCATGTGTGGAAAAAATGTACCTTCAATTCACCTCTTGGCAAGGCGGTGCCCAACCCAGCATTGTGAGCTCTGCAGAAACCTGACAGGAAAGGTCACTTTGGTTCTTGTTGTGGGAATACTTCTAAACCCCTGTGTGTGGTTCCTGACACTGCCCATGGCAGCAGGTTGGAGTTTTTACATCCATATTAAGGAGGTTTTTCTCCTCACGTTCTCAAGCTCTATTTGAGATTTCGGTAATAAATCCTTTAGCGCCGCTTTTATTTTCTGTTTTGCAGCCTTTCACGAAGTGGGAGGGTACAAGACTTTCATGCGCAAGTACATGGAAGCAATTCCATCCAACACCTCCTACGGGGGCGTTGAGGTTGATCCCCAGTGCTACACCCCCCGGCACGACGCCTTCCACATCTTCCGAGACCCCGTCACCGGAGACCTGCCGTGGCCAGGGCTGGTCTTTGGCCTCAGTGTGCTGGCCATGTGGTACTGGTGCACAGACCAGGTAAAGGGGCAGCAGGGATGCCCTGGGAATGCCCAGCACACAACTCCAGTGTCACCTTCCCCCCTGTAATGCAAAGCTGGGCTGCAGAACTGGCCGTTAGTTCAAGACTGGTCGGTGACCTTTCAGTTCCAGGTTTCTAAACCCCTCTGACATCAGATAAAATGGAATGGGTGTTCTTTCAAGTCTCCCACACACCTGTGCCCAGCACACCCTCCTCCTTTCTCATTTCTTGTTTGTGACCATGTGTGCAAACACAGAGAGGTCGTGCTGTGAACACTGAATTAAGAAACCACGCACCAAATGAGCCTTGTTAGAGGATTCCCCTTTCAGTAAGACAAATTTGTTTCCTATGTGTGCAGCTTTTATCTTTGCATGCACAGTCTTGGGGAGATGTTCTTTATATGTAAGGTTTTTCAGCCTGGAGATACTTCCCCAGTCCTCCTTCCTTCTCCCTAAAACCTACTGTCCAGTTTCCCCAAGAGATCACACTGACTTGAACAGAGTGTGCTCCTGCACCTGCATCATGTGGGTGTGTGTCCAGTCCTAGCAAGTGACCTGTCGGCGTCCTGAACTGTCAGAAAGATAATCTTCACAATTTCTAAACAAAAGAACACCCCCCCCCCCAGTGTAACTGTATCCATTGCTCAGGCAATTCCTTTCTGGCTTTTTAATCTGTCTGCTTTTCTTGTGAGAAAAGTCTTAGCTCTTATATGCTGGATAAGTGATATTTTGCTTTACTTATTTCAAATATATACTTTGATTTTCATGCAGTTTTTATTTTTCCTAGTGGCAGAAATGCTAAGTAGGTCTTTTTGCTGTCACAGAGGTTAAGGAGCACCTCATATCTGGAAAGTGGCATGGTGTGATCATGGAAATGTTATAATTGCCATGTCTCACTGACAGGTTATTGTGCAAAGATGTCTCTCTGGCAAGAACATGTCCCACGTGAAGGCTGGTTGTATCATGTGTGGATACCTCAAACTCCTGCCCATGTTCATCATAGTGATGCCTGGAATGATCAGCCGAATTTTGTACACAGGTATGCACACGGACACAGAAATGCACGTTTCTTCTTGCTGCCCACCTTTCATTGCCACCCTCTCTGTCATTTCCAAAGTACCTGTTAGGTTGTCATCTGTCACCCAAATTGTCCAGGCACCTGTATGCACAAAAACTAACTGCACTGTAAGAAGCCACAAGTCTTGCTGTTTTCCCTGATCCCAGATTTCTGCTGTTGTTATTGCTGTTCACTTTAGTGTCCCTCCCCAGCTGTCAGACTGTTACAGCCCCACTCTGACTGAATGAGTGGGAAATGCTGTCCAGGTTGGATACTCCCACTGCCATTCAGAGGGCCAGGGCCAGCACTGCCAGACTGCAGGATCTGGGCCATGGCCAGTCCTGAGGGCAGGGGGGAAATGCCCCTTGCCCATCTCTCTGACCTACAGAGGGTTGGGCTGGGTTTGGCAGGAGGGAGAGGAGAGAGCTTCAGGTTGGAGGGAGTGACCTTTGTGTTCCTCTGCTTGTTTTGCTCCTTGCTCTCCTTGTGTTGTTCAGTCCTGGTCTGACCAATTAGTGCTGATTTTATTTTGACCTCCAGCACTTTTCACTATTCTTTTAGAGAGGAGAGGAAGGAAAGAGGCTTTGAATCACCTTCCTCCCTGCCAGCAAACCAAGGATGATACCAAACATGTCAGTCTGGTGGTTCAACACAGAGATACATTTGAGAAGCTCTACTAATTTGGGAGCAATCTGTTGTTTACATGACCTTGTCTAACTGCCTCGTTCTCCTCTCCTCAGATGTGGTGGCTTGTGTTGTGCCTGAAATCTGTAAGCAGCACTGTGGCACTGCAGTGGGCTGCACAAATATTGCTTACCCAAAAATGGTAGTGGAGCTCATGCCAAATGGTAAGACACTGTCTGTATTTGTTGTTTCTTTGTTTTAGGAAAGGTGAAACTGCCAGACTGTAAAAACAAGTGCTAGAGGAGTCCAAGACCCATATTTAGTTCCAAAATTGTTGCTTGAGCTATGTACAGTTAAGCAAAGGGGCTGCCTTGTTTTAGCTGTAGCTGTAGGTGGAGAACAGCTCCACACTGACAGTGTCAGTTCTCAGCTGGCAAATACTGGGTGATGAAATGGTAACTGAGCTCCCTTTCTGTGAAGGTAAAAAGTTACCTGCTTTGCCAGTGATTTATGCCAGTGATTTATCCTTTGCCACTCTCTGTGGCAGGACCTCTGAGCTGCAGGCCCACACCCCCAGTCTCCTGCCAACCCCACAGAGGTGGGTGCTGGCTCAGAAGGCCAGAGAGACAGGTTATGGTCCTATACAGACCATGGAACTTCCCTGCCAGCTTTAGCACGTCCCCATCACATGGTGGCTGTTGTTCTTAGCAATGAATGCAGCACTTCCCCACACTGTGTGACCAGACCACACCGCCTGGAAAAGTGGCTTACTCTGGTTTAAAAAATAGTAAGGGGAACTTAATTTTTTTGGCAAACACCTGGTTCACAAATATACTGCAAGCAAGTGAGCACTGACCTGCAAACAAGACAAATTATTTTTATAACTCTTGGGAAAAGTCTACTTAGTATTATTTTGTTTTTGTTCCAGCATTTAGCCAGACAGCATTCACTAAAGAAGTACCTATGTGCTAAAAGCTCGAGGGTTTCCCTGTCACTGCTTTAAATAGCTTTTCCCAGCTCAGCAGACATTGCTCTGCTTGCTTCGCAGGGAAGTGTCAGGCAGGGTTTTGTGTCAGGCACGGGAATCTGCCAGACACGCTCAGAGCTGGCTGGGAAGGGGCAGCCAAGCTCCGTGGATGGGCAGGTCCTGAGGCTCTTCCCAAAATGCTCATCCCCCTTCCCTGTCTCTGTGTTCCAGGTCTGCGGGGGCTGATGCTCTCAGTCATGTTGGCCTCCCTCATGAGCTCCCTGACTTCCATTTTTAACAGTGCCAGTACTTTGTTCACTGTGGACATTTACACCAAAATCCGGCCCCGAGCGTCTGAGAAGGAGCTGATGTTGGCGGGCAGGTGAGCGCGGCACCCTCCCCGCAGCGCCGATGGAGATCGGCTCCTTCTCCCCGATGGCGAGGGCCGGGCGGAGCCTGCCTGGCAGAGCTGCAGTGGCCTCCTGTGGCCAGAGCCGCCGTCCCAGCGCACCGCCTCCTTCGGGCACACGGAGCCCCTGTCATCGAGTGTCCGTGCAGCAGCCAGGCTAATTCCCAGTGCTTCCCACTACTGTTCGAAGGGAATTCCTCTTAATTATCTTCCCAGGCTTCATGCTGCAGCATCAGTGAACTAGTTCTAGTTGATCTGCTATTGATTTGACTCTGGACATAACAAACAGAGGGAAAAAAAGTGATTTTCTGTGTTTTGATTGCATGCTTCGCTGTGTGCTGATGGATATTTGACATACACAATACCCAGCTTGGATTTCTATTGTTTGTTCAGTGCTAATTGGCCATTATAATTGATTTCACTAGTTGAAATACAAAATGAACATGTAAATTATTGATTAATTGCTGGGGCTTTTTTTCTTTCTGATAGATCATAGATACTTCTAAACAGATGGCTAATTGAATATCTGGCTGTGTTTACAGGGCATTTATGTTACTCTTAATTGGTGTCAGCATTGCCTGGGTTCCCGTGGTTCAGTCAGCTCAGAGTGGGCAGCTCTTTGACTACATCCAGTCAATCACCAGCTTCCTGGGACCTCCCATTGCTGCTGTTTTCCTGCTCGGCATCTTCTGCAAGCGTGTCAATGAGCCGGTAAGTGCCCACCAGGAGCACTGCATGTTCCTTGGGCATTGGGAGAACTGCTCTTTTTGGTTTAGTGTCTTTTAGGAGCAACTTCTTCCTGTTTATTTTGATCCCAAGGATTCTGTGTCTCCATATCCCAGGGCCTGAGGCTTCAGAGATGAGATTGAGAGAGTTCTTTGGTGGTTTGATGGACAAACAGTCACCCAGGAATTCCTAGATAGCTCTGAAGCTTAGGTTATCTATCACTTGGCCAAGGAGAGTATAAAATGGATAATTTATGAAGACCTATTCTTCATAAGTAATCTTTTAGGATATTGGTCACCAAACTGCTCTACCAAACAAATCACATTTTACCTGTCCTGTCCAATTGAGTTTTTCATATCCCCAGGAATGGAGACTCCACAGTATCTGTAGGCAACCTGTTCCAATGGTCAATCGCCCTTACAGTAAAACAAAAAAATGTTATGCTTAAGAGAATTTCCCATATTTCAGTTTGTGCCCAGACATGGCTGTGTGTGTCTGTTAAGCTTTGGCTAGAGTGCTGTACAGCAGGCAGCAAAACATCCACCAGGAGTACTGAGAATTAGCTTTTAACTAATTACTAACAGGGCTGTTGGAAGATAAACCAGACACGTTTTTCGGGCAGGATGACACACGCTGCTGGCTGGTTCCATCATGCCAGAGCTGTCAGGGATTTAGCCCTCCAAGGTAAAAGGACATGAGAGCAGCCCTTGGGCTGGAGCCTGTCCTGTAGGAGAGGATGTGTGGAGACAGCTGGACTTTGAGAGCTGGGCTGCATGGGGTGTCCTCCATATTCTTTCTCTGAGCTGCTGTTCCTTGCCCCTTTCAGCTGTACTAATGCACTAAGCTATAAACACGCTCACTGAAAGTGTCTGGGTTAAAACCCCTGTGCAAAGCCAACATAACACACAGCTACCCCGTGTTTCCTCCAGCAATTTATGGAGAGCTTGGAGCTTATTTCCATGCCTGGAATGACTCATTTTGATACTTCTCATCACACCCGTGTCCGCAGGGTGCCTTCTGGGGCCTCATCATTGGGCTGCTGGCTGGACTGGGCAGGATGATTTCAGAGTTTGTCTATGGAAATGGCAGCTGTGCCAGCCCTTCCAACTGCCCCTTCATCATCTGTGGCATTCACTACCTTTACTTTGCACTGATTCTCTTCGGGGCTACAGCCATCGTCATCCTGGGAGTCTCCTTCATGACTAAGCCCATTCCTGATGTACATGTGAGTATCACTGCAGTCCTGCTGCTCAAGAAATGGAACACAGTGAAACCGTTAGTTTTAAAGCCTGGTACTTGATGTATTACCTCTGCACATCTCAGCTGCCTGCAGCACACAGTTCTTGTAAGAAAGCCAAGGAAATGGTCTGCCTTTATCACTCACAAATCTTCAGTGACTCCTAATGACCTCAGACATAAGAGGCACTGGGGTTCCATGGTCTTACAGCTGGTCCACGTGCTGGCCAGGCTGGTTTGTGTCTGTGTAGATCCATTAAAGTCCTTTTGTTCTGTGGCAGCTTTACCGCCTGTGCTGGTCCCTGCGGCACAGCAAGGAGGAACGGATTGATATTGATGCAGATGAGGAGCAGGACAAGGCTAAGGAAAAAGATGAGGAATCAGGTAACTGTTGCATATCTACAGATTCTGTCAATGTATTTGAGTATCCCTGTTTCATTCCTGAAGAAACATTAACATGCTTGATATCCAAAGGCGTCCTCTCTCCCAACAACAAAACCTCAGCCCGCCGTGTATTTCAATGGCTCGTGGGCTGCCATTACCCATCTGTCACACCCTGGGAATCAGAAGGGAAGGAGATCTGAAGGGAGAAGCCCTTGCTTTCCAAGCAGCTGGGTGGCAGCTCTAGGACTAAACCAGTGGCAATGCTTTAGGTCAGAGGCATTGGCATAAGTGTGTGTGACTCCAGCATTCCAAGAGAATTCACCTGGAAACAGTGAGTTGTAGCCAGGCCTGAAGGCACCATGAAAGCAAACTGCAAAACTGCCAGTTCTCTTTGCTGGGATTTGGTTCTGCTCCCAAGTTTCTTTTAATCAATATCCTCAAATTCATTTATTTTTCTTTTCATTCAAAGTGTAGAAATTATTGAAAAAATTGAGTTTAAGCTTTGCAGCCTCGTCTGCTTCTCCAATAGCAGACCAAGTCTCTGGGCTGCAAAAGGCCCAAGCGATTTCTGCCAAAGGCTCTCTTGGAACATGTGGAACATTTCCAGGTGAGCTGTGAAAACACAGTATTAACTTGATCCCTGGACTGTTTTGTACTCATATGTTTCCATTAACTGTGGCCAGACATCAGAACTGCTGTATCAATATAGGATTGCCCTCAGCCCAGAGCTCAGAGTGTGCCGTGATCCATGTCCCTGCCATGACCTGAGTGTTGTTCCTTCCAGTTAACGAGGAAAGCCAAGAGGAACCTGGCTGTGTAAAGAAAGCCTATTACTGGTTCTGTGGCTTGGAGCAACAGAAAGGCCCCAAACTGAGCAAGGAGGAAGAGGAGGCCCTGAAGAAGAAGCTGACGGACACAAGCGAAGTTCCCCTCTGGAGAAATATTGTGAATGTCAACGGCATCATCCTGCTGGCCGTGGCTGTGTTCTGCCACGCCTACTTTGCGTAGCTCTGCTCCCATCCCCCACACTGCTGCACTGCCAAGCAAATCGAGGGCTTGTACATTTACACACTCAAACACACTTAATGTTTGCATCATCCACACTGGTAAAAAATCCGCGTGATTTACTCACTGATTTTATGATCATAATTTCAACAATCTAAAGATGAAGGGCACTGGGATTTCAAGAGAGGAAATACCTGTTTAGACACTGAACCAATGCAGGGCTAATTGAGGTTCAGAGTTTCCATCTGTTATTCTCTCTGCTCATGATACATTTCATATTTTAGGTTCAGAACAAGGCTTCATGAGCCGTATTTCATATCAGGGTTTGTGAACTACCTTTTAGGGTTGATGATGCTATTTAGATTTTCAACCCTTCTGATCTCTCAAATTTCTTTTTCCTTAGGCTATGATAATTTGTTAACAAAAAAACCTACAACCACTGAGGGACTGTATTACAAATTCCAATTGGAACATCACTTTTGTCCCTCCAAACATGGGATATCTGAAGTAAAGGATTTATATGTATATTAGTGTATTTGACACTATGTCTAACTTTGCATTATGACTTCTTTCCCCTTTTTCTCACTTTCCATTGGGTTGTGTTTCTCATTCATCAGTGCAACACTAACCTCTGAATTGATGGCATTTTGAAATTGGGGAACACCTCTTTCAATGATCCTAATAAGAATTCTGCTTCCAACAGATCCTCTGTTTAAGCTTAACTTCTAAAGGTCCTCCTCTCTTGATATTTTAATACATACCTATACTTGAATGTGAAGCTTTTTATACAAAATACATATATTATATATACACAGGCAATACATTATATACATGCACTATATCTGTTATATATATTTAAAAATATATTTAAGTATGTGTGTGTATATATATATATATTTATTTCTTACTGATTGACCCTGGGATGTCAAGGACCACGTTACTGTGGGGTTGGTGTCAATGTCTTGCCTCTCTCTCTGGACTGTGCTACAAACCCTGTGCCCACAGGATGCTGGGCTGCATTTTGCAAATGCATTTGAGGGCTCTGTGCTGCTTTTCTGCAAAGCTATAAATCCTTCTCTGAAGATTTCACTGAGAACTAGGATTCCTGCTGCCTGGCAGCATGAGTTAGCAGTTTGTGGAGGAGAATAGTCACAGCTGTGGGATATCAGCTAAACCAGGCTGATTGTCTGCACTTGATAAGTTTGGTACCAGCTGGGGACACAGGAAAAGGCAGATTTAACACTTCAAAGCAAAAAGCAAGAGATTTTCTTTTCATCTCATTCAGCTGCCTGGGGAACCAAGTGTAACACAAAGATGTTGGTTTGCTTAGTCAAGCTGCAGCAGTTCCCTGATCCTTGTTGCATTGTCCCAAAGCATTTCAGACGATGGTCCTGACTGGAACAAGTGCAGCTGAAAGGGAAGGCAGTGCCACACCACTGCTGCTGCCTCCTGCAGCTCTAATCACTCTCACTTCATAACCCTCTCACAGCATCTCTGCTTGCTTTGGATCTAACCCAAAACGCTCTGGATTCCAGGACTGCTGCTCTTCAGTAGAATTGCTGCTCTTCAGCACAACCCCTGCAGTATCCTGAAAGGTTTTGTATAGGCCAGATCTAATCAATGCTACAGAAATACCAGTGCAAGCCTTTTTTTCCTTACACTTCACACAGAGTATTTTAAAGACCATGGAATGAATTATATTTAATGAACTATGAAGAGTTGTATGTATTAAAATACTTGTATATTTGTAAGTGTTTGGTGTCCACAAAGTGATGGGATTTTTATGTGATGTGATGGAAGACAGAGAAACTTCATTTGGTTTGGGCTCTGGGTAATAGTAATGGATGAAAAACAAACAAGGAGGGTTTCACTGAGGATTGCCCAGATCCCTCCTTGTCATCCTTTGCTACAGAACGAAAAAAAAGATGAAATTATAGAGCAATTTGGATAAAGAAAATAACACAAGTGATTTCCTGGCAGGCTGAGCAGCCTTTGGATGACCTCCTGGTTAATCAGGTACCATCACTTCAGTTTCCTCCCCAGGACTACAGAATCTTGAAAATCTAACCCACAGTTTCTCAGGAATGTTCCCTGTATGTCCTCAGCAACCTGATTTCATTCTGGTCTGAAAACTGGATGTTGTAGAGGGAAGAGTTCAAATGTTTCCATAAAGTTGGAGAGCTGCTGCTGACTCCTCTCATTCTGTAGAATTCCATAGAAAAATTGCCTGATATTGTGAACAGCTGATAAAATTTTCATATTCAGCTTAGTGTGAAATGTGCCCTCAGCTGTTGCATTCAAAGACAGTTTCATGACTTTGAGGAAGAAAGTGGCTTTTCCTCAGTTCTCAAGGCAGCTCTGTCCATGTCCCAGCTGTGGCTGGGGACACTCAGACTAAACCCAGGGGTAGCTGAGGCTGTCCTGGGCATTCTCAGGCTCTGGAGGTGGGAACCATGAGCACAGCGTTGTCCCCCACATTTGATTGAACATTAGAAATACTTCTGGGCAGTGGTGAGACCCCAAATAAATCTGTGGCTCACAGCACAAAGTACCTGTATGGCACGTACAGCACAACACAGCTCTGCCTCAGGGGATCTTGAGACATCCCAGTTTACTCTGCCAGGTAAGATACAGGGTTACAGCTTATTTTGGTGGACTTTAGTTAGTTATACAGATTTATTTAAAGTGAACTACACAAATAAACCAAAAATTTCCCCTAGTAGCACTGTCAGCCAATTAGGACACTGCTCTGTAAAGAACACACACTAATCAATATCTTCCATTTAAGAATTACTACGTAGTTTTTAGGCCAAGTCCTGAAAAAAGGGTAGTCACTGTTCATTTATGTTTTAATTTTTCTGTATCACCCATAAAAATTTATCCAAGTGTCTCACAAATGTTAAATGTTAATGATCATGAGAACACTCTGTTCTTAGAGCTCAGAATTTGGGTTTACTGCTCTTTGTTACTGAAATGCTGGGGGAGGGAAGGTCTGTGCCTTAACCTGAACAGCTCTGCAGTAACCACGGTCTGGTTTTAACCAAAGGGTCTGTCCCTGGGGAACGAGGACATGGCATGAGGCTGAGCCTGCAGGTGCAGGGATGGTGGTGATCAGAGCCCCAGCTGCAGCCAGGATTGCTGATGGCCCCAATCCCCACTGCACCTCCCAAACTGGCAAACCCAGGAGTGTTCGTGTGAAGGGAAAGCTGACACCAAACCAAGGAGCAAAGGTAAATGATAAATCCATGTGTTACCAGGGGGACTAACATTTGGGAGGAGAGCTCTGGAGCCTCACTCGCTGTATTTGAAGAGCACTTGAGCTGTTTGAAGTGTTGAGCCAGAGGAGGGTTTAAAGCTGATGTTCCTGGGGACAGGCAGCACAGGGAATGGCTGGTCCCAGGCTGTGGGTGTTTTAAGTGATTTAATGACCTCATGTTCCAGCTGCAGGAGTCTGTGTCCTGCTCCTGCAGTGTTCTGTGGGGAGCAAGGAAGGGAGCAGTGATCAGAGCGAGCTGTCCTTGTGCTGGACTGGAAATCCAGGGGCCAGATCCACCCCTGAGAAAGATGGGAGATGCAAAACATCTTGTCTGCTCATCTTGTCACATGCCATGGGCAGCTGTGAAAAAGAATAATTCCCTGGAGCTGCTGTGCCCAGTGTGTGCTCACCTGGCAGTGCCTGAGGCCAGAGCCCTGTGCTGCCTGGAGCAGCACCAAGGGGCTCAGGTGTGTGAGCTCGGGGCTGCTCTGTGCAGTGTTGCTGTTTACAGTATCAGAGCCTATAAGTTTAAAAATGTGGCTTAGATGCGAAGAATAACAAATTATTAAAATGGTTTTTATTCATTCAAATTGCAAATTTTGTCTTGCTAAAAATAGGTCCTGTGCTTTGAGCATATTAGCTTTGTGTGTAGCCACAGAGAAGACACTCTGCCCTTTTGGTTTAATGTAATTAGCCAAATCTGACTTTCCCAGACTAATTTGTCCTTAGACAGATCTCTCACTTCATGCTTATTTCTTATTTTTAATAGCAAATGTAGTGGTGGGAATCAAATATACTCCCTGCTCTGGAACATGAAGAGATGGAATGAAAAGCTGCCATTTTCCAGAGCAGGAACAAATGGTTTCCAACCCTCGGCCTTGGGAAAGGAAACAGGGACAGGGAAATGAGTTTGTAGTTGCAAGAACAAAGCACCATAACATCCTTAACCTTCTGGAAACTCTTAGAAAAAATTCAAAGTGAGCCCTACCTGAGTGGGACACAAGGCTCATCCAGGAAGGTTTCATGTCCCATGGGTGCAGCTGAATTGTCTTCTGGTGTCGCTGAGAATCGTTGGGCAGAATTGTTTGAAAGCTCAATCTGTGTCAAGTGTAACTGAATTAATTCCAGTATTGACCCAGGACCACATTAATTATATCTGGGCCTTCATCATTGGTGGCTTCAAGCTAAAAAGACAAATCACTTTCAGTGATGTTACAAACCTGCCTTGGTCTGGAGCCACAGGAGTGGAGGGTGCTGGGGGGGACTATTGGTGACACCAGAGACCTGCTGTCCACACAGCACTGCCTCTGAATTACAGAGGGTGAGATCCTGAGGTGTTAGTAGAAGTATTTGCAATGTGTATAAAGCAATTGAAAGGATCTTTCCCAGGATAAAGAAAAACCCACACTGGGACATTTAATTAGGAGTTTTACCTCTGACTACTTTCAGGTACATTTGAGATCTCAAAGGTCTTTTGTGAAGAAATGTGAAGGGACATTTCAGATGTTGAGTTGTGGTTGAGAAACTAATTTTAGGAGGGAGATTTAGGAATCAGCATATTACTGTGAGAGCAATTGTGTGTTACATTTTAATGCAGCTGGAAAAAGGATTTTGTAGAGTGAAAATGTACCCTTAATTCAGGTTGCATAAAGTGAGGGTTACAGGACCAGTGTGATGTCTCCCTGCTCTGTGCACTGTCCCCTCATCTCCCAGGCTGGGACAGGCTGTGCTGGCCAGTCCTGCACAGTGACCCAGGGGGGACAGCACATGTTGGGACACCAAGACAATGAAGCCCTAGAAACACCCCAGATTACAGAAGTGTTCTGCAATAATTAGGATTATTTCTGCATTAGCTGTGCTCTCTGTGCATCCTTTGCTTCACACAGGCTGTTTAGCTCTGCCCCCCTGGCGTTTGTTGGGCTGTGCTCTGGCCAGTGCTGGGCCCCACCAGAGCACGGGACTTTGAATTATTAGATCTGCAATCTTTGTGTCACTAAATACAGCTTTTTAAGTGAAAACCCCGACTAATAGTGGTTTCTGGCTGTTCCATGTGCAGAGTTTGCATTCTGGTGTTTACACAGGCAGTGCATGGTCTCTAAAGGCCCTGGGGATTCCTGTCGTGACTGAAGTATCGTGTCATGTCAGGTGTGGCTGTGCCAAAGAATGGCTGAGACAGAAGCTGACGTGTGGGAGGGCACCACCAGTGCCCTCAGCTCAGAGTTCAGCTGAGGCTTTGTTCCATTTCTGCGTGAGACAAGAACACTGATCCCAAGTAGAGCCTTTTGGGGAACAGTTTGTATTGTCTTTAGAGCAGGGATCAGGCACATGCTCGGAACGCAGTTCTTAAGGCCCAAGTTGGCTGAATTTCTTCTAGTGAGAGCAGTTCAGTGTGGATGGTCTTATTTCTACATTTGAAAAAGCTGATTATTTTGGGAACTCACTGGAGGGTGATACCTGAATGACTGGGGAAGGCTGTGGCAAGGCTGGAACTGAGCTAAAATGATGATTGCGGCTGCATTCTCCTGCAGCAGTTCTGTAAGAGCAGCTGAGCCTGCCCTGTGCTCTCCAGTCCTTTAGCATGTGATTCAGCTGCCTGGCTTCTCTTACTGAGCTGGATGCACTCTGGCACCAATATGTATTACGTATGAGTGCCTTATGTGTTTAAAAGGCAGAGTTCCTCCAAGATCCTGCCTGCAGGGAATGAATCCAACTGACTCAATTCTTTAAAATCACATCTTTACAGGAGAGGAAATTTGCCCTTTGGTTAGGCTATGGAGGAGAACCATTTGAGCTGTAATCAGTCCTACAGGAGGAGTTTACCCTGTGTAAGGCTAATGCAGTTTGCTTTGTGACCGTGGCTTTCAATGGGAAAGCAGCCCTGACAAATAACCCCTTAAGAGACCTGCTGCAGCCTCTTTGTAGCTACAACGTGGCACCTTCTAGATACAAAAATACCACGTGAGAGCAAAACCTGAGTGAAAACAAAAGGGGCTTGCTGTGAAGCTGAGTCAGCTGCACTGTCTTACCCTCCTTGGTCGCTGAGAAGGGCCAGGGTTGCTCTGCTCACTTGGGTTATTTCTTTGCCCAGGACTCCTGTTGATGCCTCTTAAATGACACCCTTGCAACTGGAGGCAGAAATGTGCCACATGTCTGTAGTGACTGGCCTTGAACTCACAGTGAATAAAATGCTGCTGAACTTCCCACTGCTTCCACTGCCCCTCAGCTCTAACCACAGGAACTACCACCTTATTTCCTCCAGATGATGTCAGTCTGATTGGTCAGGTTTTGCTTCCACAAACAGCACGAATTTTGTGTGCTACTCTCAGTTCTATGAAGTAAAAGGTTTTTTTAAAACTGCTGATTTTTTTTTTTAAGAAAAACAAATGCAAAGAAACATTTGTTCAAACTAGAACTTGACATTTTCAGTTCTGTCCTGTTTATCTCCTCACCTCTCTGTTTAGGCAGCTGTTAATCACAGAATATGTGAGGTTGGAAGGGACCTCTGGAGATCATCTTGCCCAGCTCCTGTTGGACTAGATCAGTAGGATCAGTTTTCCTCTTGTCCCATCTTTCTCCCTGAAAAGTGAGCCACGATGGCAGAACTTTTCAGTTCTGACACAACACTTACCTTTCCATTATACTTGTTAATTTGGGTACTCAAAGGACAGATTACAGGTCTGCAAAACTACAAAATGCCGAGTACCAGCACAACCCCTGAGGTGCTTCTGTTCCATACCATAACCAGTGCCAGATTGGGCCAGCACCCTGTCCTGTCAGAGGCACAGCCTTACCAAGGGCTACCCTAGTGAAGCCTTTCTCCTGATTCCCTCAGGGAAGCCCTTCGATGACATTGACATTGCTTTTTCTGGCTTGATGCTCCAAATGGTTCTAATCCCACCTTCAACAAATGTTTGCAGCAAAACTCGTGTAAATTCCTGTGTTAGATCAATTTCTCAGCACAGGCAAGACTGCTGGAGGGGTTAATTAGGAACCTCTCTAATGTAATTAGTTATTGATTCATGGTTGATAGGCTGAGGTTTCAAAAAAAAAAAAAAAGTAGAGAACATAATGAAGAAAACAGAAAGGGCTGGTGTCTTGTATCAGGAAAATCTTGGTAACTCAGCCAATAACTCCTAGTGGAGGATTCCAGACTTCCTAACTTTTCTTTTTCCCCATTATTCTGCTTTCTGACCTGCAATATAGATGTGAATCTGTTGGCAAATGACTTTTCAGAGGGAACCGATCAGGAGTAAGTGAGGAAGAGAGTTTTGGTTCTGAAGGTCTCGTATAATCGTGCACCTCTTACAGCCAGACAACAACAGAGGGCAACAGATCTCTAGAAAAGATCGCGCCTGCAGAAAGGTTTCCACTCGATGGCTCGGATGGCGCTTTGGGCAGCTCTTGCCACGACCTCCCGGGGATCGTCCAGGCACTCCCGAAAGGTGTCCGTGTGATCCAGGAGCGTCTCGCGGCCCTCGGGGAGCTCAGCCAGCAGCGTGAGGGCTTTGATCGCGTTCAGACGGGCTCTGCTGGTTTCCTCAGCAACCAACTTGAGCAGAGGTGGGATGGCTCCAGCTGCCATGGCTGAGGATCTCCCTGCAGGGAAAGAAACTGGCTTTGGCTTATGGCATCTCATCAGCATCCCTCTGGATTGATACTTGGCACTCCCTGCCCGGCTACAGCTCTGAGCAGCCCCGGGGGTGCAGTGCACAGGGGCAGGACGTGCCCTTCTTCTGGAGACCAAGGCTGGCTCCAGCTGTTTATATTTAGGAAAAAAGATCTTTCCCAGTTAACTTTATCTGCCTTGCACATTAGGATTTCATTTGCAGCAAGCATCAAATGATAGAATAAACTGGTTTTTGGAGGGTGGGGTGAGTGGGGTGTGTTAGATGCCCTTAAGAACATGTCCCATTCTTGCATTTTTAAAGACACTTCAAACACTGAGATCCATTCCCGTGTTGTCTCCGGTAGCCAGAGGAAGGGTTGCAGAGGAGGATTGGAACACAACTGCTGTTATTAAGAGTCTTTTATGTCTAATTACTCATTCATCACAGGGAGAATTTAGCAGTTAGTATTTTCAGTGTCATGTAAGTTACTTGGGAGAGCTGCAGACCTGATTAATATTCATTGCTCTCCCAGCTGTGAGAGAAGCTGCCTGGAACCACAGAATGTTTCCAGAAAGCAGCGCTCCTGTGCCGAGCGCTGGTGATTCAGCACAGCTCCAGGTATGAGGATCTGTGTGGTCTGGACTTGAATGGGAAATGTTCCCCCTCTGGAGCAGCACTCTGGAGGGAAATGATGCAGGCAGGGTAGAGAAATAACTTCTCGACCTACTTCACAGAACGAAATGTGAAATATCCTGTTCCTGCATTGCACTGTGGGGAAGCAACAATAGTTGTTCGAGACATATAAAGAAATGTCCTCATCTTACAGTTTCTTGAGGAGCTTTAACACTGTCAGAAACCGAGGACTCGGGGGGTAGGGGAGTTTCTGAGTTGCCTTAGAGTTGGATTTCCAGCAGAGCTGCCTCTGTCTCACCCTGAGGAGTGACAAGAGCGAACATCAGTGCTCCAGCTGCACTAGCCTGGACTGCAGGGTCTGTGTCTTCCAGCAGGCTCACCAGCACAGGGATAACCTCTTCATCACACACTGGAAGTTTTCCCTCTGGATGAGAACTGTGCAGAAAAGATAGTGAAGTTGGTTTTTTTTTGAACTGTGCCTGCAGGCCCTGCAGCCACCCCAGCCTGTTTGTGCCACCAGCACTGCACACTCCTGTTTGCTCCCTCTGGAGTGACTGTTCCAGCTGGGAACTAAAGGGGTGTGTATTTGTGCCTGGTGGCTGTTGAACCTACAAGTGGTACAGCCCTGATGATATCACAGTAACCCAGGTGCATGGGCTTCACCATTTTTTAGGTTATTTTTAGGGGATATTTGGATTTTTTTTTTTAAACTCATTATGAACACTGGAGACTGATGGGCAGCAGCATGGAGCAGGATGTAAGGTTAAGGATGCTGGTGGTCCCAATGGCAGTGAGGGACAAACCTGGCTGTTTAACCCTATAGAGATTTTAAAACCTGATAAATCAGGGGTCTGCAATTAATTTTTCTCCCAGGTCAATTTTCTCCCTTTGTTTCCAGCCTCTCTAATGAGGGGAATATTTAATATGGCCCAGTTACTGCAGGGCCATAGAATATAGTTGATATCCATACTCCAGGTGCATTTGACTTTCTCTCTCTGACTCATGATAATTACAGTCTCTTCTCCTCTAAGACTTCTCTTTGTTATAGGACATGAGCAAATGTTTTGTGCCAGTTGATATATAAACTACATCATCTGCAGGCCTCTTTAAACTAGACATCTGTTGAACACTTTTATTATATTTTCTGGTTGCAGGACCGTGGACTTAAGTTGTTCCTTTCATCCACTCTCTGATACACAAATTTAATATAAAGATTGCTTGTTCTGATCCAGCCCTGACGTACACAGCAGCCTGTGTCAGAAAACTATTTCTGTCCTCAATCACAGTGAAAGTTTCCCAGGACCTTTAATTTTCTGAGAGTGTTGTCCAAAAACGTAAGGGAGCTTCTCCCTGCTCCACAGTGGTCAGAATCCTGTTTTTACAAGATTTTTCATGTAAGATTTTTTTCTCGGCAGTGCTGTACCAGGAAAAAATCCTGATTCCACTGCCAATACTGAAAACAAACAGAAGGAGAAGGAATGACTGATCAGCATCTGCCTTTTTGAGTGATTTATAGCAGTTAGGATATTTAGAAGTCTTCTATCTATGGGTGCATTCAGGCTGATAGTGCTTTCTGTGTGAGATGTGGCAGCTTCACCGTGCAGTGGGACACTGGAAACTCATGGCATTGATTTACTCCTGCAGCGAGTACTTCCTTGGGCTTTAGCATTATGGACAGGTTTGATTTCCTTTACCTGATTTCTAACAGCACCTGAGCTGCTTTGCTCCTGATGGCTGCTGAGGGGTGTGTGAGCTTGGCCTTCAGGGCACCGACGGCACCAGTTGCCAGGGCTTCCGAAACCTCCATGCGCAGGCAGTTGGACAGGGTGTCCAGGATCAGCTCCAGGATCTCCTCCAGCTCAGTCTGCAGTTTCAGTACCAGGGGGGGAATCAAAGCAGCCTGCAGGACACCAGCAGCCCCTGAGAGGAGACAGGGAGGAAGGTGGGTGAGGGCTGAGTGTGCTGACTGTCATACCTGCACTTGGAATTTCTCCAAAGGATCAAATACAGATGGTAAATCCCTTCCTTACACAGATGGAGAGGTGGAAAATACTCCAACACTGCCCTGTTCTTAAATGTCACCTTAGCATTTCTCAGGGAAGCTTCCCCGACACTCCTGTAGATCATCAGCCCAGGTAATGACCAACATGGCAATTGCTCTGATGTTCCCAGTTTCTCCCAGTATAATATTTATCCCAAAATCATCCTTGCGAAGAAAATACAGAAAATATTACAAAGTCACCTTCTATCCAGCCTTTCCAACTGCTCTCAGCATGAACAGATGCTGAGAGAGGCTGCACTGTGAGCCTTTAGAGCTCATGCTTTGATTCTCCACTGTGGTTCTTGGGGTGGGAAGTCAGGATTTTGGGAACTGGCAGCTCCCTCACGTATTTCTTTGTAGTAATTCTGTCACAGCAAAAATTTAAATTCTCAACTTTCCAGCAGTCAGTGCTCTTGCACTGGCTCCTCAAAAACAGCATCAAAGGTACAGAGGTCATCATCTGCCCTGCAAGTGATGTGTTTGCTGTGAGCAAGAGCCTGATTTGTACCGTTCCTTACCCTTTGCTAAGTCACCACTGAAACAGCAATGCCAGGGGAAACAGAACGTCCTGTCCACCAGTAACTATGTGAACACAGAATTCTCCAGCTGTCTTGTTGCTAAGACTGATTCTTCGGTTGCTAAGAGAAATGTGGCTCCTTTCAAAGTGATTCATATACAGTTAGATAAGGAAGTTTTGTGGGTAAGAGTTGTCAAGGCATTTTCAAATGAATCTCCACAGAGGAGACAGGAGGGAAGGAGATTTTAATGACCCTTGGTCATGCATGGGAGAAATCCCTCAAATTGACAATCAGGTGAAAAACATGACTCTAATCTGAAGGTTATTTTGTTGTACATATTTCTGAGGTTTTGCTGACACTGAATAACTTCTTATGTTACTGACTTATTAGGATCCACTTCACTAATGCCAAAGCAAAGAAATGCCTTGGGCTGATATTATTACAGCTTTACTACCTGTGCAGCATTTGGAGGGCAGCTGCTGTGAGAATTCAAATAAATAAGGAAAACCAGTTTCAGACAATTCACTCTTGAAGGCTAACAACATTTTACAGGCAAGGAGTTCTCCTTGTGCCACAAAGGCAAGGCAGGAAAGGAAAGTGAGAAGATGTTCTTTGAAGCTGTGGCTCTGTGTGTCACTGCAGGGGGGAGTTGGCACTTTCACAGTGAAAAAAACCCCAGCTGACCCTTTGTGTATGTCCCCTGGAGGAACAAAAGAAGAAATCTGTCCAAGATCAGCTCCAGCCCATTTGTGCTGTCCCTGTGGAAGGATGTGATCCAGGACACCTGCTCGGGGAGAAGTCCCTGAGAAGGAGGTGCTTATTTTGTATGAACATCAGGATGTTCTTATTTCTTCAGAAACATGTTTTATTTTCCCAGGCCAGGTCTCTGTACCATAAACTTTCTTACCTACTGCTTTTGTCAAGCTGTCCCAGCTGAAATGTTGTCTGGGAGCTTCCCAGGTATAAATATAGAAACAAAGATGAATTGTTTGACCTTGTCAAGAGTCTCAATGTGGTGAAGAGAAAGAGGGTGGAGAGGAAAGGCCATCAACAACAACAAAAGACTACCTAACATTGGGAGTGAAATTCCCACGTGGAAATTCATCACGGTTGTCCCAGGAGAACCACAGGGTGAAAGGTCTAGAGAGGGAAAAGGGAGGAGATAAAATCAATGGCAAGTTGTTTGAGAGTCACTTGTAAATTGGAGCAGTCTCAGACCCTTCCACCCTGGTGAGTGAGCAGTGGCAGGGGAAGGTAAGCTGGGCTCTCTAGTCCTACACTGAACATCCAGTGGCTTCCTCAGGATCTTGACTGTCCTTTCAAAGGAGATTTATCTATTGCAGAGAGTGTTCTGGATACCCTGGGCACAGTGAAGTAGTTGGGAAAAGTGTTTTCAAAATGCAAATAGTTGCATTTGCAGCTGCACGGTTAACGTCATTATTGATCTGTTTTTCTGAGAACTTGTAATCTTCCCTTGGGCTGCTTTTTATCTGAGCACTCATCTCTTCCTTCTCAGAACCCTCAGGCCACTCTCATCCTCCCTTTCCTGATTCTTTGTTCAAATAGGCCCAAAGAGGAGTTGCCATTTATTCTGTTGTCTCAGGATGGCTGCAGGGCATGTAAACAAGTTAAATTTTGTAGAAGACAAAGGAGTCATTTATAGTACATAACAGTGGTGTTTTGTTTTGGTTTTCAATTACATAAATCAATTAAATCACATTACAAATCCCTTTCCTTAAAAATGCTGTGTTTCAACTCCAAATGTTTGTTTTAGTCTGAAGCGTGAGCCTCCTGCGTGGCCACAAAGGGCTGTTTGGTGTGTATATAACAGTGAAATAATATGGAAACACAGATATTACAGAATATGAATCTCTGGTGGCATCTCGGGTGTCTCTCTGTGATGGTCACACTGATTTGAAATGCTCAGTAAAGGCATTTCTGCTTAGGAAGGGGCACACAAGGAAAAGAAAAGCAGAGCCAGACAGGAAAGAGAAAATGGGAAGGAAATGGGAAGAAAATGCTGCTTGGAGTCATGGTGTGCCACCAACACACCCAGCTGTGACATCGCCGGGGGGAGCTCAGCTGGGAGCAGCCAAACCATCCTGACAAAAGTGCTGGGTCTGTCGGGTCTCTTGCTCACACTGCATCAGTTCATCAGTGCTTTGGAGGGAGCAGAGTGTTCCTTACACCAGTGGGTGCTGGCCTGGTACAGCCCTTGGACACGAGGTGAGTGCAGGAGCTCCTCTGAACACCTTCCCAAGTGACTCCTCACTCACTGCTGTGTGCAGGGAAAAACATTCATTTCTTCTTCAGACTCAGCGAGATCTCTGAGTCACCAGTCACAAGAGCACAGTTTGAGAACCTCGTAGTAGCTAATTTAGTGTTAGGATTCAGCATTTTGAGTCTCGGTGCTTCCAGCATTATGGCTGTGTCAGGGAGTAGATTAAATCTAATACTATAAATACTATAAAGCTGGGCTGAACTTTCTGGTAAGTCTGGAGCAGGAGCAGACCACACTCAATGAACCTGAACTCACCTGCTTTAAATCCATCAGGTTTATCCAGCCTTCTACCTAAAGAGGAGAATTCTGTTGACATCTTTGAAAATCAGAATATTTTCCTCCTCTTTGCAACAATAATTCTGTCTTTCCATGACAATTTAACAGGAATAAACAGCAGTGTCCCAAAGGACGACTGTGCCTAGAGGCAGAGAATATGCCTGAAAGGACCGAGAAGTGGGAAGTGTCTGTTTAAATGAAGAGCTACTGGGATATTAAGAGAACTGAGGAAAACACTGCAGTGATTGGGTTGGACTAGGAATAGTGAACAATTCTGTTTCAAGCCATTTCAAATCTGAGCATTGGCCATGTGCATTTATGTTATGAGAGCCCTGGGGATAAAATCAACCCAGGTATAAAACATTGTCTGTCAGATCCTCACTAAAAATGCAACAACTTCATAAAACTTCGTAAGACTTAGAAAAGCATTACGGGATCTGCTTTTGAAGCCACTGAGAATTTTTCCAACTAATATCTGCATTGGCTTCTCTGTTATAATACAGAAATCCAAGAAACAAATTCATGGTTTAAAAAAATAATTGTCATTTTGGTAATTTAGGCAATCTGAATCATTCATGCCCTATGAAAAGAGGGATAATATCTAAAGAGCTTCAAGATTCTGGTCTACAGAGTGTCTTTTGTCACAGCATCTTCAGCAACCCTGGGGGTGAATTAGACACAATAGACTTGTGCTTCACATAGAAGGAGTTTCCAAAATGAAAAATAAATCTCAGGTTCTGGTTTTGTCCAAGAATTATCTGCAATTCAAGATCAATAATTGAGGAAGACAAGTCTCCTGGTTCTGACTGATGGCAGTGTCAGATCCTTTAGTGTGAAACCACCCAAAACATGCTGGTGGAAATAATGGAATGTGCTTTGTGTTGTAATAGTGCACAGCCCATGAACCGTGGATTGCTGGGCATTCATATGGGATCTGAGGGCAAATGAAAGCAACTTCTCCTTCCTTTAATAAAACTGTATCGATTCCTTATCATACACGAGAAAGCAAACAATCAAATGAAGGTGAAACAAATAACTGAGGAACACTGGCTCATATTTTTTCCCAGCTGTAGTTGTTGATAGGCTGCTTGGCCAGGGCAGGATAAGCAGTGGTGTCTTTTGCAATTTCTTTATTTAGTCTTCAGAACTCGAGCTGTTTGCACCTCCCATATAAGTAATTTGCTTGAAGTTTTCTAAATTTGTAGCTTAACACATGGACACACTCGTGGTCCTCCTTTGTACCTAAATGTGTGAATGCAGGTGCATGTGTGTAGCAAGCATTTGACTGATCTGCCATGTACAATGATCAGACAAATTAGGAAATTTCTAGCTTTTATTCCTCTGACAAAGTACCTTATTATGAGAATATTTCTTAAAAATCATAAAAATTAGGGGGAAAAGTTGTAAAAATTTACACAAAGGGGGTTTTTTTCTTGTTCTTTTAGATGAAGAAGGAAATATCCTGAAGTTTATTAATTTCCTCTACAGAGAAGACTTTGCCAAAATACACGAAGGGAGGAAAACAATCTGACTTCTATATTACTTACGTCAAAGTCCTCAGATCAATAACTGTAGAGAAAATTAAAGCCTTAAGAGAACTACTCCCTAAAAGCTGAGTCTTAGCCCCTGAGGCTGCCCCATTTCAGATTTTCCAAGTCAAAATCTGTTCTTTTTTTCCAGCTGGTCAGTGATGGGGATGTGTAGCTGTGAGATGAGGCTGGGAGGGACCGGTGCAGCCATGAGAGACTCTGCTGATCTGCAGCTGCCCAGGTCCCTGTTGTACCCCAGTGTTCCCAGGAAGGAC